TCAGGAAGCGTCCCTACACGTGCCCTTGGGCACTTGACGTGGGGCGTTAGCAGCCTCCCGTCTGTGTCTCGGTGATCTGTGCAGAGTGGAGCCTAGAGCCGCTGTCTGCATAACTCACACTCACAGACCTCCCATCGCTGGTTATAGGGAGCGGCATCTGTACTGCTGTTCCTCCAGCGTTACAGACTGCCCTTTGGGGTTCCTCGGGTCCGAGGACAGCCGGCATCACAGGCTGCGTTTGTGCCAGAGCTGAGTCTGCCGTCTCTGGTACTAGTATCTTGTTCCCGGGTTGGTGGTTTTGCTCTTAAGCTAAATGATTTCAGTGTTGTCTTCATTAGGGCCTGTCAAGACGTAAATAATATGAAACCCTGTGTTGTATATTTAGCTTTTGTGCGTGTATCTAACTGGAGATTACGAGAGGAACAGCTACATTTGGAAAACCATTAGACTGAGAGCAGGTGTCGGTGTATCCACTTTTATTTAAACAATTTGTAGGCTAGCTACTTTCCCATTCGTTTCAAAGTGTCAGTTGTCTGTATCCACTTTAACCTTTTGTGATGTCATTCAGTGCTACTAGTTTCACGTCTGCACATGTGCCAAGCTTCTGCTCGATTTGCTGTAAATGAGACGACTTTCTAAGGCACCACCTGCCTTGGTTTATCAGCCAAGGAGGACTGACAAATGTGACTTGCGTGCTTCATAACCTCTATGGTAGCTCCCTGAATAAACTCACAGAATGTTTATTTGGCCCTGAATTCAGAGTTCATTTGTTAGGGTCACATTTAACCTGCTTTTTTTGAGCTGGGTAAGGTTTAGTTTCTAATACAATGAAATATTACAAGCAGAGGACGTCTAGGGTGCGACTCACCGCCACGTACTCTGGACTGAGCGTGCTGCTGTGGAGACAGTAGCTGACCCCTGTTCCCTCGCCCGTGAGGAGCACGGATTTTGTGCATGTGACGGGGCCGGTCTTTTCTTAGGGAGAAGGGTGCAGCTATACTAGCGGTTGGCGTCTGCGGCTTGTCTGCATGTAGGTGGCTCTTCACTGGTCCTGGCCC